CCAACACAAAACTATCAAAAATCTTTTTACACTCGACTGCTAAATTCTGTTTATTCTGCATATTCCTCACATATTCCCTACGTTCATTTTTCAAAAAGATGTTGCACACTATGACAAAATATTTGATACAGAGTGCAATTTAACGATCTTATTTGTCAAAATATGACTGTCAGGTCTAATAAAACGCTATGATTGTCTTACCGCTAAATAAATCCTCATATGTGTGAATCACATTTTAATGATGTTTTGGCCAGAATACTTTATACTAGGGGATCCACTGGTGCACGTGAAAGAATTATTAGAATGTCGGATACCTTTTGTGATTGGTCTGATTAATACAGTTGTATAAATATTTTCCAACATACGACGTACACTGTACATAAAAAATATATTTGGTATATTGCAAGTAGGTTAGAGAGAGCCCACCATGAGTAAGTGTAAGTTCAAATGAAATATCGTGAAATTTGAACAAAGAAAGCTTGATCTTACAATAAATTCGTCCAAAAGAGTTACCTATCTGGTAACGCCGCATTTTTCTTCGCCAAATAACAACACGTAATTAAACGATATTGACCCTTAAGTTTCTTAGGACCGGTATTTTTCTAATTTCTTTGCCTTGTCTGTCTTCCCTTAGTGTATCCCTTTTTGCTTAAACCTTCCTGTGGGGCCTATTGGTCTATTACTAGAACGATTCAATGCAAATGTTGGTGTGATCTTTGCGTTGGTGGTAGGGTCCCTACGGTAGTGATTGTTGAAGTTGTTTGCAGACTGACAGTGCTGATAGTTCAGGTTATCTGCATGACAGATAAACCATCTATACCGCAAATGGGGTATTATTTACCTAGACAAAATTGAATTTTTAATAGTTGAATTATTTTGTTTTTTACATTACACGGTAATAAGAACTCATTTAGATCCGCTGAATTTCCCGCTGAAGAATATGATTTGAAGTTTATTCGTGGCAGATGTAGGATCCCATTCTGAGAACCTGGTAAATCTTAATACTCACACTACGTTACAGCTTTGTCGCGAAATCTTCGATTGAGCTTTGGATAACAAGTTTGTAGAAAAAATTGAAAACACTCAGATCATACTTTTTCGGTGCAAAACAATGGTTCCGTTCACTAGAACCGAGCAGATGAATCCCAGAATGTGCAATATGATTAAACAGGTCATCGTCATTGTTAGTGATTAATTTAGCCATCGAGATAATCTCTAGAGAACTCTTGGTCTGAGCCCGTCACCAAAGACCTTACGCCATATTCCCTAGATACTCGGTATCAATGCATTCTACAGATGAGCTAAACCATACTCTCAACAGTTCAAATTCTGCAGCCAGATGCTAGTATGGAAGGTACTTAATTGCTGTACGTTGTTTTACACTTATAATAACGTATTGCAAGTGAACTTCTGCAACCATTATAAATTGATTTTGAACATACGCACATATACGATGCTCGTACCACCTATACTGCTTAAATATTTCCATGGTGTTTTTATGCAGTTTTATCTTTTGTGAACATATTGTTTTAATGATATACGTTACATTCGCATAGATCGTCACTTGAATTTCTTTAAAATAATTGCTCAAGAATAACTAGCTTCATTTTTTACCGTTCACTTTATTTTATTCGAAATAATATTTCGCATAGAACTATGAAGTGTACCAAAAATTCTTAATCTAAAGTCACTTATGCATATTTGAGATGATTTGTTTATGCATTTATTATTAAATTCATGTAATCTTTGTTCCACACTAGTCGAATGCAAGCAAAATTTTGACTGCAATATTAACATAGTATAAAACGGGTTATTCATTGTGCAAACAGGTAAAAGACGCTTAAAATCAATTTTCGACTCTGACGACAAAATGTGTTTTTTGTCAAGATCGCCAAGTTCCATAGATTGCTGAATATACAGGGTGCCCAGTCGGAAAGTTCACTTTTGGATTTAAAAAAATATTTATTACTATCAACATATTCGTAAATTCGGGTTTTATTTCTGAAATTTCATTCCGTCCAAATGTTTGCCATCCCTTGGACATACTCTTCTTCCGGAGTGATGTTTTTTATTTCTCGTCGAATGTTATCTTTAAGCTTATCCAGTATTCGTGGATTATTGGAACACACTTTTGACTTTAGATAACCCAAAAAAAGAAATCGCATGGCGTGAGGTCGGGTGACCTAGGAGCCCAGTGAATGTCTCCAAACTTCGATGTAACTCTTTGAGGAAAAAGTGCTTCCACCGTGCCCATCGATTCTCTGGAAGTCTGGGCAGTGGCCCCATGGTGTTGAAACCATCTGTTTCTGTTAAATCGACGTTCTGTTCTTACAATAGGAGTAACAAAAGTGTCAATCATGTCCTTGTATCGCTCAGAATTGACTGTCTATGCATGACCGTTTTCATCTTCAAGAAATACGGTCCAATAATACCGCCAGTGGGCGCATCAAACAGTCCCCTTTGGTGTTGGTGTTTCTCTTTTGGGCTTTGGCCCAATACATGCAATTTTGCTTGTTGACCATCTAAGTGAACTTGGGCCTCGCCACTGAAAACAACGTTCTCGCGACTGCGCTGCGTAGGAAAATGATTCAACATCCGTTCAGCACAAGATTTCCGTAATACGCAATCACTTTACTTTAAAGCATGGACCGATTGGATTTTATAAGGATGAAAACCCATTTTTTTCTTCATTAAGCCATGCAGTGTTTAACTACGTACAGAACGCCTAGCATTTGCAATGATCGAATCACTTACTCGACGCACATTTTCTTCGGTTGGTACAGTAGGTGTCGAGCCAGGAATGGGTTGACTAAGAGCAGAGCCTGTTTTTTCAATAGATTCTTATTTAAGGCATATCTTGGTCGGCGAATGTTGTATCGTGTACAAAATTTCCGAAGGGCAGCTGCCTATGAATCACCACTTTTAAAGTAAGCCTCTATAGCAAAAGCACGTTGAGCTCTGGTCCAACGTTCCATTGTGACTATTTAACCCGCACGCCGAACGCGTCGATCAAGACCTCTCCCCACTTCCTCGCGTATTCGGTTGCCGCGTAATTCAAATTTGAAATGTGAACTTTCCCACTGGACATCCTGTATAATCTTCAGGTGATGTCTTACTGCAAAGCTTCAATGCAAATATGTTTTATATCTGAATTTTAATTTGTGTTCATTGTTCAATATGCTTGTGTGATGTAATTGATACCTAGCGATAAAATTATAGGTTGGACATAAAGTGGGTAATGTACATGTTCCAGTCATTTTTAATCTAGTTCTACATACATTTTGATAATGATTTATTTCTAGATATATGCTAGCGTTAGTTTGGTGATTCTTTTGAGACTGATGTACTCTACAGTACAGGAGTACATTTTAAATTTATCTATTAAGTATGAAATACGTGCATATATCTAGAAAACCAAATATAAGTTCGAACAGATATTAGCTTAAGTTGTTGGAATGAGGCATATATTATTGTTTGTGCATTATTCGTTTAAAGTGAGATATCTTTATTTTTTAATGCTTTTGTGGATATGGACAGTTCGATTATAGTAAAATCGTTTTGGAATGGAATTAGCAAACTATGGGTACATGGTGGTTAAAAAGGTTTGAATATTTAAACGAAATGATTACAAAATTGTGGCAGTATCAATTTTTCCATGATATTAGTATGTAACTTCAGTCACTCCAACTAAGTTTCTTTCAATATTCTGATAATGATCTAAGAAGTACATATTGGTATTGATTGGAATTCAAAAGATTCTAGTAACTCCACATTTTGACAACTTGGGCTGCAGAATTTAAAATAATTGTTAACACATCTGATTTTTATTTTTCAACATCAAATGTTGCCTGCCTAGGTTAGTGAATAATAACACCTTTTCTACCACCTTATCTTTGGCCTGTAAAATGCAAGCAATTAGATTTACATTGATGTCTCTGCTAAGCCCCAGAAATAGCTTGTTGAATCTGATCCTAGCATTTTCATTCGTTTATCAACTTGTTGCCGGCGAATATAGAGGCAAGTTTTGCTATGTTTCAAACTTCCATAGACTTCGGTTTCAGTCGTGCGCATTTTCAATCTACTGATATAAAATTTTGTTGAAAGAGAACTGTAAATATTATGTAGTTATTATTCACTTTGTAAATTATTTTGTATACAGATTGTTTTATATATTTTTGTTGCCAATAAATCTTCAATATAAGGTGCATTTTTATTTTCAGCCTGATGCATAATCTTTTGGGCACAGTGGCCCTTCCTTCTAACGCTTTTGAAATTTTGCTGTTCGAAACAGGTGAAATTCAAAGCCCATGCAATTACCTCTCATCCTGTCATTGACACGGAATTTTAATACTCGTCCATATTTCGCATTCTAATAAGACTGTCAAATCTTCAGATATTGTAATTTTAATAATAACCAATATGTGGTATTAGGGTTACAGAAATCCAAAGATATGTGAAAAGGCCTACACTCCTGGTGTAATGGGCGAAAATTTGCTACCAGGATCGCATAAACGGAATACGTAATTGAAGGCACATTATAGCTGTGAGTAGTTTATCTCATCGTTTCTGCTCTCCGGATACAGAAGCCTGATATTCGAAGAATGAAAATACTCATTGCAAAATTACAAAGTTTGATACCAAGACCTCTAAATGTGGTACGGAAATGCGTAAATATACATCGCATATACATACTATTTCATCAACTTTGAAAGCCTCAATATGTGAAACTAATGAGAGCAGAGACCTTAAGAATTTAATATGTGTAATTATTGTTTGTAATATGTTGATTGGGTATTGGGAACTATTTTTATTATTGATAAATAAGTTATTTGTTGGTTATCACTCTTTTCACACCAAAGTATGTTATTATTAGTGTATTTCCGAATAATATTAAATATTGTGTGCATTTGTATTTTTATAAGGAACCACTGAGATTGTTAAAGTGATGTGTGTTATGATGTAGCCAGCATTGTTCACGTTAGAAAGATGACTAAGAAAAACCGGTGTTTTATTCCACACGCCCGTAATATATGAATTACAATATGAGTAGGGATTCTACTCTACAATTTTTGTTTTGTGGTATCTGCATGATGAAAAAACAATTCAAGATAACTTTTTTTATTGATACAAAATTTTGTGTATCACACGTCAGAAAGTAAAATTTAAGCCCAGTCAGCGGAAGCACCCCAGTTGGTTGTGGCTGCCTGTTGGGGCGGATTGGTCCACTGCTCCTGGGCCACTTCAGTAGCCCAATCGTCCGTGGCAACAGGGAAGGCTGGGGCTGCGCCTGCTAATGGAGCAGCAGGGGCTACTGCAGGTGGCTCTGGGGCCCATTCGGCAGGCTCTGCTGTGGTCCAGTCCAGATCCTGAAAAAAAAAAAAGAACAGTATAGTAAATCATTTGACAGTAGCATATTGGCAGTATTTGCACCAAATGTTGAATAAATTTTATTTTGTTCTTTTTAGATTTGAAGTTTAATCGAAAACATTACATAACAGGCCTTTGTAAGAATTTAGATGAGTATAGACAAAAGAAATGTTTCAACAATCATTGAGTCTTTACCTGAGTATCCAGTGGAGCAGGGATCTCAGCTGGCTTAACGACTGCAGCTACAGCTTCTTTGGCAGCTTGTTCCTCCTTCTCTGCTTCTTCAGGTTCACGGTAGAAGAAGAGGTCTACCACTACATCCCACTTGGTGTCACGGGTGATGGTGCCGCGAAGACGCAACACCTAAAAATATTTACAAAAAAAAAAAATGAATATACTTACTTTGATGTAACATGTTGGTGGTGTAACAACAAAATATCAGGTGGAAAAATTATTTGAATATCACGGATAGTCAAAATAAAGGGAACAGATTGTATCATCATATATATATATATATATCTTGTATGTGTTGCAACCACCACTATTAACAGTGATATTTCAACTTTAATAAAAATGAGTTATTACCTCACGAGCCAGAAGCCACCATAATAGACCAATACTGTGTGGGGCCTTGTTGTTGCCTGGTATAGCAATATCAACAAATCTCAAAGGTGAGTCAGTGTTGCAGAGAGCAATGACTGGAATGTTGACATAGGAGGCTTCAGTGATTGGTTGGTGGTCAAAGGCAGGATCAGTGACGATCAGAAGGCGAGGTTCACGAAAAGCTGCCTGGATCTGATTGGTGAATGCACCTAAAAAGATATACGAGATGAGAATTTTATAGGTAAAGCAAATGTAGGGAAATACTTGTCCGAATGATCAGACTCAAAGTATAATCAGGAAGTCAGTGGTTCCTTAGTTAGGTGTCATCAGACTGGTTTAACAACAATGTATCAGTTGCTGACATAAGACAATTTTTAAAATCAAATGACCTTTGGTTGCATTTTGGTAGTAATGTATAATATATTGAATTTGAAGTCACAACACTATATAGAAAAGAAGCAAGATAGAGCAAAATGTGCTTCACAGGTTGTACCCTCACATTACCATTAATATTTTATCTATAAAGTTCAAGGTAATTACTAAGCTTGGCAATGTTTTGATGTCAAATGTCAATTGATTAACACAGGTTACAAAAAAAATGGTAAAAAATCAATCAAACCTGTAATGATTGACAAATTATGAATGTCACCCAAAAACAGTATCTACCAGAACAGAAGAAAATACAGCTAGTGTAGCCAAGCTACAATTTTATCAGTTTTCTCTCTGTACTCTCTAGTGTGAAATTTGGTGCATTATGTTGTTTTAAAAAATTAGTATTGATCACGATCAGAGTGAACTGCTAAAATATCAATCTCTGGTAAAAACAATTTCAGTCTTACAACTAAAACATGCTAAAGAATTTGACGACTTCTCTACATCAAGTAAATCCTCTTACCAGGAGTGAACCTTCCTGCAATGGGTGTAGCACCAGTGTGGGCAGCAAATTTCAGCACAGCACGCTGTCCATAGGGTCTCGAAGAGATAACGAAAACCTCGCTGGAGTGTTCAATAGCGACGATGGCTCGTGCGGCTAGGAGAAGCTTTTCCCATGTTTTCCTGAGATTAATAATGTGCACACCATCAGCACGTCGCTTGTATACGTACTGTTCCATTTGGTAGTCCACGTTTGGGGTACCCAAGTGGGTACCGGCGGCCAACATCTTCGTCACATCCTCTTCTTTAAGGCTGAGAACTTCTAAACCTCCCGACATCTTTACGTTTTTATAGAGTTACGGAAAACCTGTAAAGTAATTAAAATTGAGTTTTTTCTTTATGAAAGAGGGAAGGAAAATAGCGGCAAAAGTTAAAAAAATGATCACATGAGTTAAGACAAGTTTTTCACTTTATGAGCCATTCGGCCCCAAACTACACCTTAATAATATTACCTCATATATTTTGATTAATGAATTTTTCAAAAAAGACCATAAATGATTTTTGATTTGTGAAATATTTACAGATTTTGAGATACGTACGTTTTTAAGATGCCACAGGGAGAACTTGTTGACATAAAAGGAACGTCAAAGTCAAATTGGGTTAAACGTCATGTCAGTAGTCAGTTGTAGATAAATTCTATATTCGATATGTCATTGAAACTGAACTCTGCTTTCTAGGCTGCGTTCACATTTACTCCCGGACAACAACTCTGTTCATTTTACCCCCCGATAAACTGATGTATGTCATTTGTCCGACTCACGCACTAGATATATCAGTTTGCATTGTTTTATTTAGGTACTCAAATACCTATAATTGAAATTTGTCAGTATTGCCTTCTGGTTCTTTTCAAATGAGGTTGAGGACTGTTTGAGAACTTAAAACCTCTTTTGGGACCCCAAAGTCATTTTGAAAATTCATAGATGAGTAATTATTTATAGTCATTTGAGAAAATATGCTTATTCAATCCCCGACGAAAGCGTACTGACTGCCTTGTATTGAACAGGATGATATGAAAAATCATTCCATTTTTAAGAATACGCTGCGTCAAGTATACTCTATTATGCATCATGCAACCGTCAAATCGTTCATATTTCAAAGCCATTGAGAGTTCAACCACATAAATCCTCAAAATGCCCGTATTTCGACAACGCACGTCCGGCACTGCTGGAGACACTAGATAAGCATTCCTTTGAACCGTTTTCATCCATCTAATCTAAATGATTCATGAAATGGAACTCATCGACGAAAAACAAAAATGATGGTGTGTAACAAAATTCTCGGTATATTCGACATGCTGACAAAACAGACTGAAGTTCAATTCTGGACCATATTCACATGTTTTCTTATACCGTAGTATACCATAGGGCACAAATATGAATGTAAAATTGAATTGAACAACCATATCTAGAAATGAACAATTCAATCCTTGTATTGTATTTCAGCGGGAGTTCAGTGACGTTTTCATCTGAAAATAAAACAAATAGAAGTAATGAGAAATGGATATATATATATATCTCGACGCGACGAAGAATCAAGTTGTACAAATCAATAGCCATCTCCATCCATATTTAGCTGTGGCTGTCCAGTTTCAGTTGGCGTGATTGCTACTTTCTATACATACCTTACATACTAATGTGGGTCCCACACGATGCTTCCAGCGTTGTATACAACGTTTACAACGTTCGACACCCCACAATTATCAAGTGTGTGTCTCCTACACGATGGAATGAGCTTTTTTCGGACGTTCGACGCATGGTGGCGCCAACGTCTATTATCGGTGTCAGTGTCGCGCTTGAACCTTTACAACTGAAGGAAAAATTATACAAAATGAACGATGAAACAATTTTTTTGAGCACCGAAAAATAATTTCAGATCTGTCTTCAGCGACCAAAAATTCTGCCAGAAGCCTCAGAAATGTTGAAAAACGAAGTTTGACCGTTTTTTGTTCGTTTTTCGATGATAACTCCGCTGCCAAGGTAGCAGTTTTCAAAAACTGCAGATCTTTTTCGTCATTTTCATAGTAATAACCTAGGGTCAAAATTTCATCAAAATCCTAATAGTACTTTCAGCCTTATCATTTATTTAATCGTTTTCGATAGTTATGAAAAGCCAGTCAATATATTCCCCAATTAGTTTTGCATTGCAACAGGACATTATAATGAAACAACTGTAAGCACTTGATACTTTATAATTTACTAAAATACATATATTTAGACCAGCCATAACTCACCTGCGAAACGTACAAAATATTAGCAATATGAAAAAAGTGTTGTTATGGCAGCCTATATGCTTTGTACGTATACTAATTTAATTCATTCTCCTCAAAAGTTAGTTAAGGAACATACATTATTAGGTATTCAAATCAAAATACTTCCCACATACCACTACTTCACCACAATCACAGCAAACAAGTAAATAATTTTTTTTGTCGCTACTGGTTCTAACCTAAAACCATCAAACACATGACATCTCGAGTGGGAGCGTAACGAACCATGCTTCCTACATTGTAACGTCCTTTGACGCCGGTCAAATTTACCGACAGGAGCCCGAACGCGTGCCATGTGGCGAACGTTGGACACATGTAATCCGTCAGCGCTCTACCACACGATGTGGCGAATGGCCATGTGTCCACGTTGTAAGGTATTCGCTACATTGTGTGGGACCAGCTTAACCCTATCGTATGTGCCTGAGATGTCGATAGTCGATATTTGTGGTCGATACATTTGACAGCTCGATGTTTTTGACAAACATGATCGGGCATAACCTAAAAAGCTAAAAACACCGGGCTCTGTTAAACATAGTAAACATTCAAAGTTAATAAATAAAACATATAAAGCTTTATTTTTATACTGATTTGAAGTATTATCAAGGTGATATGATTAACTTGTTTTTTTCCAACAATGTAACTTTGATCTATGACATAAAGGATTGGATAGTCCTGAGGAAATCATACAGAATTGTGGGGGATATTGCAGGAAGTACAGGTCGTATACCGTCTTTACCCGTGAGAATCCTCCCAGAAGAAGCTCTTCTACTAATAAACAAAGAAATTGCTTCAATGAAAGTCATAGAAATCGACAGAAGCAACTCGGAGGAGTTCAAAAAATTTCAACAGTCCCTATTAGCAGCTCAAGCAGTTGAGTATAAAAAGGCTAGAAAAAAGCAGTTGGAGTCCATTATAGATAAAATTGTTGAAGGGAGGAGGAAATATGATGATTTTAGGTAAAATACAGCTAAACATTGAAACATCTATTGAAATATTAGTTGTAAGCATTGTAATAAAGACCATTTACAGAAATTTGTCATACAGACAAGACACCTTAATATATCTGTTAGTAGTATTTTATTTCTGGTACCAGAAGAATTCAAAAAAATTATGCAAAGTATTATGAGCATATAGTGCACTACAATCTTAGTGTTGATGATTCTAGTAAATAGTCCATGGTTCACCATTCTCTTATATTATCATGTCATCTTAAATACCTCCCATATGATACTAATTTTCAATCATGTGCACAGCTAAATTTCAGGGATGCTGAAGAAATTCTGAATGAAGAACTGGAAAAATCAGCCACCATAACAGACTCCAATATGTTATGGCCAACGTTTCTTACACTGCAGACAGTACTTCCTTTTAAGCTAAAAACTCTTAATTACAAGGACATCTACCTCAACTACACCACTGAATTAAAATGTGCTGTTTTTAGTGATCTATGGAATAGAGGATACTACATAACAGAAGGTGTGAGATTTGGTGGAGATTTTTTAGTATATTTTGGTGATCCAATTTGTTACCACGCAGTTTTCATAGTGAAATGTGTTACTGATAGTGAATCATTTTCATCCAGTGAACTTGTGGCACATGGGAGACTAGGGACTAGTGTTAGGAAGAGATTTGTATTGGCTTCTGTTGTGGATGGAACAGTTTGTTATGTTACTGTTAGCTGGATAGATGCTTAAATATACAGGGTATACAAACATATATGCCAGATGTTTTAAATACCCTCACCTTTGGTATCTTGGGAATGATAGATACAAAATCCGTAAATGGCGGCAGAGCGGCACATTTACGTAACTAAGAAAATGGTGCAAATCTGTTGAGTTGATGATGGGCAAAACTTCATATTGAAATTGCAATGATGTCACCCTGTATGGGCAAAAGCATGTTGTTTTTATTGTGCGAGTCTTTTTGAACTCGCATATCAAATAGTGCTATCAAAAACTGAAAACGATTTTAGAAAAAATATATTTTTTTTGTAAATACACTGTTTAGAAACTTTTTAAGAGCTATCCCATAAGCTCTCTGCTCCATATTAATGGCTTTGCATGACTTTACTTTTCAAAGTTAGCAATAGTGGGGGTCGAATATGACGCATCCGGTATAAGTTTGAAAAGTTTCTATTTGTCAGCAATACTGCTCCTGCATGAAACATTTTTTAGATGCCATAGGGGTCATGCGATACCCTATTTTGAAGTTATATATAAATATAAAATCAGCCAGTAGTCAAAAGGCTATAGTATATCTTTCTGCTTCCCCTGGAATAATTTATGCAAATAAGTAATAAGTCCCTTATGGCCCACATACTCTAGGGTGTTGATGATTAGTTATTGGGTTATAAGGAATTCAATACACAAAGACATTTAACCCTCATTTATTTATATTGTTGGGTTATAAAGTACCGATAAGAAGTTTCAAAATAAGATATCACATGACACCCCACTCAATTCAAAACAATGTTTCAAGATGGTGCCCAGCCGCCATCTTGTAATTTCCAACTCTCTTACATTAAAATAAAGTACTCATGCGCTAATTTGATCACCCCAGATTGACCTGTTCAAAAATAAGTGTAGAGAGGGACCTTCTTGGATAGAACTGTTTATTTCTAGTACGCTTTTTCGCGACTGAAATTATTTCCCGATTGAAAACTTCTTCAATAATTCTTCTTTAATTGCACATTATATTTATATAAAGTTGTTATATGTATAATATTGGTACTAAAATTTTTTTAGCAGGCTATCGGACGTCATCAAGTTCCTAAGTCACTATTATGTATTATTTGTACATAATTTGTCGACTGTAGAATTGCATATAGATAATAGATATAAATAAATCGGTTTTACAATTTTTTACTATACATGTTCAGAGAATTATATTAGTGGTAACTTGTTTTTATGACAATTGCTTTTGTTGGAAACAATAGTATAATAAACATTTTTAATTTATGTTTGACTTTTATTTCATTCATTTCGATTTTATTCTCATTCTTATGCAAACTATTATTTTGCCTTTAAGTCCTTTTTGGAAAAATGAGCTTGATCTGTGAAGTTGTGATGCATCGAGCCGATATACGTTCCATTAGATATCACGGTTTTTGTCGGATATTTACTGTTTCTCACCGTTGTCTGCGTATTTTAGGACTGAAACTGGATTTGGCAGAAGGCACAAGAATTTTTCTAGGAATTCACAATTATTACCATTAGCGATTAATATTTCATTGATTTATATCGGTCTACACAAGAATTTCATTGTGCAATCTGAGATTAAAAGGGATGATGTAGGAGTGAATATTAAATTACAAATCATAGACAGACGACTTAAAAATGCGAAGTTTTTGGGAGTTTTGTATATAATCTAGAAGGATGAAAGTTCAACCCAGTCCAAAAAAGGAGATCCAAGACCTATCCTTACAACTACAGGTCTATAGCTCTGCTTTCTGTTATAAGTAACGTGATGAAGAGGTGTAAAAATCGCGACCTGGTTTCCGGCACCAGCGAACCACGGGGACCCCTAAAAGCTTACGTCACGCAATTATGGGGTAGACTCATCCAGTTTTATGGTGAGCCTCATGTCGTTGCTCTCGATATCACGAAAGCCTTTGATCAGCTATGGCACGCTGCCCTCTTATTCAAACTTCCATCCTATGGCCTCCCAGAGAAGCTTTGCAGATGGTGGTTGACTTGCTCTCTGGCCGCAAGATATCCGTCGTAATTGGCAGGTTCTCCTCTTCATCCCACAACGTCAACCCGGGTGTTCCTCAGGGTTCGGCCTTGGCTTCGACACTGTTCCTTAGATATCAACGACCTCCTTTCCTGTAAGGTCAATCCAATCCTCAGCTTTGCTGATGACAGCACTCTTCATGCAGGAATTCAGAGCGATAAGTCTGTCTCTGCTGGTGAGCTGGAAAAAAAGACGAGAGTCCTGGATGTTATCACTGCTTGGGGACGCAACAAATCTCGTCAATAGCGGCAATTTGCTTAGGGTTAAGAAGTAATTTTCTCCGCATTACCTCTTCACTCTGTACAAGGCCCAGATAAGACCTAGCCACGAAAATTGCTCACACGTTTGTGGTGTTGCCGGCCCGACTGCATTATTTATGTTCTTTGCTGTAGAGAGGAGGGCTGTATGATTGATTGATGACTCTTCGCACCGGCGGGCCATGGCCGATACAGCTCTCTTCTACCGTT